AAGTCAATTCCCTGTGCACAGCCGCAGTAGCTACTTACAATATTTACGGATTGGATTTAGCCCAATTCACTAAAATTCAACATGGTCTTCCTGCATATCATGTCGTGCCTGCTTCTACTGCTCAGAATTAGTTTTGCGCAGCCATCTTTTATTGTATCCTGTTACGAAGAGACATAAATACTATCCATTGGATGGAAGAACCCAAGTAGAACTGATGTACTTAGGTTTCAGCTGATGCAGGCTGATTGTGGAAAGTGATGCATTTGGCTTGCTGTGTTCTCTTTGTGGAAATTTTGCTTATTTAAATTTCACTGACTATGACAGCGAATAATTCCTGATTAAATTGCTTGTGGCATTTCTGTATCCTTCACAATTGTGGATAGGCGACCCATTCAGATCTGCACTGATGTTTATACAATGATGTTTGGCTTAGAACAGAAATGAGCTTAAATGGCCATTGTTGTTTGGTTAATGTATCTGGTGAGTCACTCCGCGGTGATTTTAAGTAGGAATATTTGAGACTAAATAGTCAAATATGGGTGCAGACAAAATTGTGTCTGGCAATAAGCAGTCTCAGAAAAACATTAACTTGACTGTGCAGGTGTAAGTTTATCTGTCTTTTCAAAAGGCCCATAGGTCTTATTCTAGGGTTACCAATGTTAGAATCTCAAGGAATGTAGTTCAGGAAGAAGGGGAAAACATGTAGAGAATTAGTAATTAGAGAAAAAGAGAAAAAAATGCCCCTACGATTTTGTTTGCGTTACTTGAATGTTTTTCTTTGTTTGTTATAATGGTATTGGAGTTGGGGCAAAAGGGCTGCATAAGCAATAGCCAAGAATCATTCCATATGCTTTCCAATTTGACTCTGAAGGTACAACTAGGGACAAGTGGGCAGCTAATGGCAGGAAGGTAGAGTAGAAATATGGTAAGGGAAGATCCAGGAATATATCCGATTGGAGTCTGTGACTCTGTCTTAATGACTTAAAACAGAATTAAACAACTTCAGTAATGAGGAAGAAGTTGCGACTGTTCTCCTTGGAGAGAAGAAAGTTGAGAGGAGATTTGATGGAGGTTTTCAAAATCATGACTAGGCAGGATAGAGTAGATAGGGAGAGGTTGTTCCCACTTGCAATTGAAAAAAGAATGAAAGGGCAAAGACTTAAAGTGATGAGCAAATGAAGCAAGGGTGATGTGAGAAAAATCTTTTTCACGCAGCAAGGTGTTAGGGTATGGAATGCATATCTGGAAATGTGAAGGCAGGTTCAATTGAGGCATTCAAGAGGGCATTAGATGGTTATTTGAATAGAAATGGTACGCAGAGACATGGGGAAAAGGCAGGAGGTTGGCACTGAGTAATTGAACTGGTGTAGACATGATGGGCCAAATGGCCTACTTCTTCTGTGATTTTATGATTGCAAATCTAAAATGGAAGTCTAAGTGGAAACATGCAAAATGCCAGTCAGCCCTTGAAAGGATCTATGATTCGGCTGTGACTTTCTTTAGTACAGCTCTGGTGAAGAGCATCAAGTCATTTGCAGTATACTCAATGATTCAATTGCACATGCATGCAAAGAGAGAAGGACTTAAAATCACAATAAAATTTTCTGCAGAGTTATGTGGATTCTTCAAACATTAAACTATTTTCTACAGGTTTCTGCTATTTCTTACATTACTGTGTTAATTCCTGTTGCAATCTAAACTTGCTTTAATAAATACTTCTGAAAGTGCAGAGATTCTTGGGTGATCAAGAACGGAGTCTGACTGTACAAGATTCTCCCCAAGATGGCTATGTTGCAATAATCTTGGGGGAGGTCATTAAAAAGCCATGCATAGAAGGGGGAGTCAACACAATGAGGGCCCTGTCATGCAAGCAAGAATGTACATGCTTTTTGATCAGGCAAGCCCAGATCAAGGGCATGAGACCCTGGGCTCACCGAGTGTTGAACTTGCCTGCCTCACTCAGCTAACTAGGGCTGTTGAACAAAATGCCTTGAGAATCTATTTTTGGTTGAGACTTTTCTTTTGGGAAAAAATACCTTCCAGAAACTAATGTGAGATGTTCACAGTCAGTCTTCACAGCACAGCCAGACAGTCGCTGATACAATTTCAAGTCACTTATTAGAAAAGCTGCACAGTTAGAAAGCAGTTAGGATGTTACAATTGTCCTTGGCTTCCCCAAGCCATGGAGCTGTAAAGCTAAAGGCCTCCAGCTTCCAGTTGGTAATCAGTGAATGTGTTGGGAGTGTGAGCCTGACCGCCTTTTAATGTTATATTACTCACCTACAGTCACTGGGAGAACTGCTCTAGTCACCATGTGCAGCAATCTCATAAACATACACAAAAATCCTTGTGCTAGACACCAGACCATAAGATACAGGGGTCAAAGTAAGCCATTCAGCCCATCTAATCTGCTTCCCCATTCAATGAGATCATGGCTGTTCTTCAATTTCACTTTCCTGTCTTTTCCCTATAATCCTTAATTCCTTTGCTGATTAAAAATCTGTCTCTCCCAGCCTTGAATATACTTAATGACTCAGCCTCAACAGCCCTCTGTGGTAAAGAATTCCACAGATTCACAAGCCTCTGAGAGAAGAAACTTCTCCTCATCTCTGTCAGACCCCTTATTCTGAGAATATGTCCTCTGGTCCTAGACTCTCCCACAAGGAGAAACAACCATTCTGCATACACCTTGTCAAATGTCCTAAGAATCTTGTATGTTTCAATAAGATTGCCCCTCATTCTTCTATATTCCAATGACTGGAGGTCCAATCTACCCAACCATCATTCATAAAACAGTCCCACCGTACAGTATCAGCCTAGTGAACATTCTCTGGACTGCCTCCAATGCCAGTATATCTTTCCTTAAATACGGGCCCCAGGACAGTTCACAGGATTCCATCCGTGGTCTGACTAGTGCCTTCTCTCATTTTAGCAAAACCTTATGACTTCTATACCCCATTCCCTTTGAAATAAAAGGCGACATTCCATTTGCCTTCCCTATTATCCACTGAACTAGGATGCTTGTTTTTGTAATTCCTGAGCGAGGACTCACAAAACCCTCTGCTCTGCAGATTTTTGCAGTTTTTCTTCATTTAAATAATATTCTGCTCCTCTATTCAATATAATGAACAGAGACAGTCAGACTCACCTAAGTTAGTTGGCCAAGGTACCTTAGATGACAAAATGCTGTAAAGCCCTGAACGAGTCTATACCTTCTGGAAGGGGAATAGAAAACAACTGTGGCACAACTGAGGCAGTAGGAAATAAGAGAAAGCTCCTATCTGTATATGCAGGATACACCTAAGATGCCTCTCACCAAGTTCCTCAGCTCAGACAAAGTCCAAGAAAGCAGCTTGTAGTGTGGTGGTTGGAAAGGGGTAATATTTGATTGAGTGCAGTAAGCACCGGCCTTAGTGATGATCTCTCGAGGCCCAGGGTGGTGCGAAGAGACAGTTGGTAGAACATGGACCTGAAGCTTGTGTGCCCCTAGCGCCCTCTGTAGCAATGTGGGTCATATTCATGTAATGTGCAAATAGGTGCAGTAATGCAATATGTTTCCTATTATTTACTCAACAAGATTCTTCTGATTAGATCAGAAAAATAGCTATCCCCATCCACAATATTGGTCTTGAATGAACTGAAACACACGAGAAAATGGACAAAAAGCACCAGAGAACTCCCTTCTGAATAGCACTTTTAGTGTGTCTACATCTCAAGGTTTGCAGTGGTTCAACAAGGCAGCTCAGGGCCACCTCCTCAAGAAAGATTAAGAATGGGCAATAAATGATGACCAACTAAAACTGCCCACATTCCACAAATGAGTAAGAACAATTTACAATTATCAAGGCTTCCACCTTTGCTGTTTGTAGCACATTTTGGGTATCTCATTTGAAGAATAAAAGTGATGAATGAGACAGTGCTTTCAAAGCCAAAGCTCCTAAGTGTGTTGACGCTCATCAAGCAAATGTGACTTCAATGGGCTCCAGCATATTCACAGTGTAGCAGACGGGTGCATTACTAAGGAGTGTTCTATATTGACATTGTGCCTCCCAGGGTCAAGAGTTAAACTGACAAAACTGAAAAATGGTGGCATCACAAATGGACTGAAATATGCCACCACGATAATGATCCATGGCTACATTAGCAGGTGACTTAAACCTAAATTTGAGAATGCTGAAAGACTTTAAGACTGCCTCTTGCTGCTAACATGTTGTATGTCAGGCAGTCACACTGCTGCTCACCATGTTGCATGTGCAGCTAAAGCAAGTCTGCATCTTGCCACCTGGCAGGTTTGCTGCCACCATCCATATGCCAATGTGGTCTAGTGCGGCAATAGAAAACCACTTAGTGGTCAATCTAGAAGATTTATTGAGCAGGATGTGATTTATTGCATGTGATCAACTAGTTACAGCTTAACAAAAACAGAAACTGCTGGAGGAACTCAGCGGGTGTGGCAGCATGTGTGGAAAGAAAGCAGAGTGAACGTTCGGGTCCAGTGACCCTTCTTCAAAACTGGACCCAAATCATTGGCTCTGCTTTTCCTCTACAGATAGTGCCAGACCTGTTGAGTTTCTCCAGCAATTTCTGTTTCTGTGTCATATTTCCAGCTTCCACAGTTCTTTGTTTTTAATTACAGCTTACATTGATAATGAAAGGCATTGTTTCAAAGACAGTGAGGGCACCTGGTTGTTATGCCTCTGTCCTTCAAGATCCTGAGCTATCCTGCTCACAAATCCATGTCACATCACCGTAGTAGGGACTGCTTATGGTACTCCTTAGTATTAACCTTTCAAGCCCATGTACAACGCTTGACTCTCATGGATTGGTCTCCAGCCATCAGCTAATGTGCAAAAGTAAAGCTTCCCCATTTCCTAATGGATCTGATTGTCCAACAACTTGTGCAATTAGAAGATATTGACAACAATGAAGTGCAAACATCACATCAGAAGTGATAAGGATACAATCCTGATAAACAATCAACATTTGCAGCATTTACCTACCCGTGAATAGTGTGGATGGAGTGAGGCTCATAATGGTATCTTCCTTCATGATGCCGCATATCGATTGGTATGGGCGTATGGAAGGCTGGGAAAATGTGGTGCGATGCTGAAATAAAGAAAAGGAGCCATTAAAAAAAAGTGCAGCATAAAGTGGAAAGATAACATTCAAAGGCAATGGTTCCCATAAGGCTGTAGATATTTCAGAAGCAGGAGTATGTTCACTAGAAAGACAGATGAGGAGCTTCATGTTCGCTATTGGCTGAATCAGACAAGAGAAGCAGAATTAATAAATAATCAAAGTCATTCACAGAGTTCCTACATCACAAACATTAAAGGCCTCCAACTGGGTTTCTGACAAAGACCTGCAGCTACACATGCTTTGAACTCTAAAAGATGGCAGAAAGTGTGAAAGGAACTGGTGTGACGCACACAAACAGAACATGACGGCTGGGAGAGGGAAGCAGGGGTCAGAGTTGGTGCTGACTGCAGGAGCTGATCCAGCACTTGGTTGGGAAGGTTTGTGTATTCGAGTGTGTGGTGCGGGGAAGGAGTGTGTTGGGGAAGGTTGGTGTGTGGGGAAGAAGTTAAACTTCAGCTGGCACCCTGCAGTATGGATGTTAATGGAGATTCATACAGGTCTGGGTTGTTAAGACAACCAGAAGCCACTTCAGCTGCTTCTAATCAGACAGATGATGCCTAAATCTTTGGGGGATTAAGTACAGGGGATTCAGAGTTATCACGTTCAAAAACATTACATCAAGCACAGCCCAATTACATCTGAAATAGTATGTGAGGTTCAGCGCATCTCAGCTGAAGTGGCTATAAAGTAAATTACAGCCCTCTGTCAACTCTTCCTTGCTTCTGCCCATACGTCAGATGATGACTACCCTTTGGTTATTGAAACTGCTGAAGCACAGCAAAATGTATTAGAGTCGCCCAGCTTTTCATTTATCATACAATCTCCTGCTTTGATAGTTCAGTAAACTCTGCTCAGCTCAGTATTAACGTTTACCTGTCAAAGTACAAGCCATGTTCAGAGACTGACAGCCATCTTAATCGTGAACAGCAGCTCAATCAGTCTTTACATAAGGTTCGAAAAATTAAGCATTATAGTTTCTCTCTGTCTGTCTGTCTCTCTCGCTCCATTTCACGTAACGTGATACAAATGGCTGACTATTCCTAGGCTTCTTCGGCCGAATTCTGATATGGTTCAGAATTTAACAACTGGGGATCACAAGAGGCAACACTGGATGATATAAGTCATACGGGGTAAAGGCATGGGTGAGGGCATTAAGTCTATTCTGTGTCAGGTAAATTGTGCTGACCCTATACTGCATTTCACGCTGTCTGATGAACAAATAAGACTTTGGTTGGATTCACACTTTTTGTAAGACTGTCCACTGTCATACAACACAAGCCTCCTTTGTAGCTCCAGCAACTCAAACTGTATCGAACCAATTGGCTTAGGCTTCAACAACTATCAGGATCTGGCCACCTTATGGATATGTGAAGCCACTAGTACAACAGACTTCTGTTCTGCTGCAACAGCCACAGAAAGAGCACAAGAAAACAGTTTTATTCAACTTGCAGCATAATTTAATACACCATTAATAATGGTCAGAGTGAAGAACAGAAGCAAATTACCCTCATGAAAAACAGCAAACGGGGGCTACTAAGGTCTGGCAGAAAAATGTAGTCTGAACTAGGTCATGGAAACATGACAGTTGAGTGAGTTAAAACAAACAGTGGAGTGGTAGAGTTCAGCTCAGAGGGAACATACCAGCTGATTAACTGAGGATGAACTTCTCCCAGTTACACTCTGTACTATTAACCACGACAGGGTGAGCCCTCTCAGTTACACAGTGTGCTTAACTGTTTCAAGCTGAACCTCCCTTGACTCTCAGGTTAACTTGGGGCTAGAGTGTGTGTAGTTTTGACGAGCAATGTGCATGGAACCTAGACTGAACAATGGTCCAGCACTTCCTGAAGGAAAATACTTTCTTTGCTTTTTAAAGAAAAGATTTTTAAAGTTACACTTTTAAAATAAAAATTGGCCAAAATACTTGTGGATTATTAACATGAATTTGGGAAAAATCACAATGAAAGGTAAAGATTTTAAGAAATTGCTTGGTGTATTGAGTAATTTTAAAATTAGATGTGATTGCTTCAACTTTGTGTGGCATGTTGTTGATTTGTGTTTATTTGCAGCTAGTAGTAACAGAGGTTATAAACACCAGGAAACGGCATTCGCTTTCAGATATTACGTGGATACTGCACTCAACACAGGAGACCATTCAGTCCATTTAGACAGTACTAACTCTTTGAAGAAGCTCAGCAATTAATCTCACACTGTCGTTCTTTTCCCCCTATCCTTGCATGATTCTGTTTTACAAGCAAATATCCAAATCTTTTTTAAATCTGCTTTCATCAGTCTTCAATCTTGAATATCTCAATTCACTATGGAAAAATATCATATCTCCCCACTGGCTGTTGTTTTGTCACTGTGTACAATTCTGGTCACCCTACTGTAGGAAGGATATTATTAAAACTGGAAAGGGTGCAACAAGATTGAAAAGATGTTACTGAGACTGGAAGGTTTGAGTTATAAGGAGATGCTGGATAGGCTACAAATTTTTTTCCCTGGAACATAGGAGGTTGAGGGGCGACCTTACGGAAGTTTATAAAATCATGAGGGGCACAGATAGGATGAATAGACAAGGTCTTTTCCACAGGGTAGGAGAGTACAAAACTAGAGGACATAGGTTTAATTTGAGACGGGAGTGACACAGAATCGTTCAGCTGGGAAATATTTAAAAGGTACCTGAAGGGCAACTTTATCACACAGAGGGAGGTACGCACGTGGAAATAGCTGCCAAAGGTAGTAGAGGCGGGTACAATTCCAACATGTAAAAGACATTTTGATGAGTACGTGGATAGGAATGATTTAGAGGGACATTTAGAGGCAGCAAAGAGACTAGTTATTTTAGGAAACCTGGTCGACATGGACGAGTTGGGCCGAAAGCCTGGTTCTGTGCTGTATGTAAAATTCTAGAATTTTACAGTATGGAAGGCGGTCATTTGACTCATCATGTCTACACCGGTTCCCAAAAGAACTACTCAGTTAGTTGCATTCTTCAGCACTATCTCTATAGCCCTCTAAATTCATCCCTTTCAAATATATATCCAGCTCTCTTCTGAAACCTCCTATGGAATCTGCCTCCATCACTCTCCCAGGCAATGCATTCCAAATCCTAACATCTCTCTGAGTAAAGACGTGTCTCCTCATTTCACTTCTATCTCTCTTACTGACAATCTTGAAATTCTGACCCCTTTTAACTGACATACCAATGAGGGAAAACAAAATATCCTTCTTTACCCAGTCAAAATTATTCAGTAAGGTCACCTCTTAATCTTCTTGGCTCCAAGGAGAATGAAGCCAATTTCTCTAATCTTTCCTTGTATCTAAAATCCCGCATTCCTGGTATCATTCTAGTAAATCTCCTTTGCACTCTCTTCAGGGTTTTAACATCCCCCTTAAATAAGGTGCTCAGAACTGAACACAATACTCCAAATGTGGTTTGACTAATAATTTCTGGAGGTGTAGCATTGCTTCCTTACTTTTACACTCTACACCTCCATAAGCCTTCTTAATAACTGTTTTAACTTGCCTGGCCATCTCTCTCAGTAATCTAGGATGTATACCATCTAGGCCTGGAGTTCTAGCCAGTTTTGCATCTCTTCTTTATCTATCACCTATCTTACAGCATTGCCCATAGGCTATTGACTCTCCACCTACTGTAAACAGATTAGTTCCTTAGCTACTATTCACACTAGAATTTTTAGAAAAACGTCACATTTATTCTAATCTGAAAACCTCAATGAAAACGATCAGTGTTGTTGCAGGGTAGGCAGTACAGGCAGTGGTGGAAGGGGGAGATTTGAAAAGCAGAGGAAATGCACTCTTCCACAACAGTATCTATGGGGCTTTCATGTCACCGTAGATTTCATCAGGTATGATCAATAATGCAGTGATTGAGCACTGTCACCAATCATAACACAGAGAACACCCTTCCCAAACCTGGTGAACTTTACCAGCAAGTACATACCTTTCCTGAACTGCTGGTAATAACTACTCACAAAGCAACATTGGTGACAAAAACAAAACTGAAGTCAAAGTCACTTATACATGATATGATTTTATAACATAACTCTTGAAAAGCTGTATTCCATCTTCTTCTATATGTGACTATACAACCATAAGACCATAAGACATAGGAGCAGAAATGAGGCCATATGGCCCATCGAGTCTGCTCCGCCATTCAATCATGGCTGATAAGTTCCTCAACCCCATTCTCCTGCTTTCTCCCCGTAACCCGTGATCCCCTTGATAATCAAGAACCTATCTATCTCAGTCTTAAATGCACTCAACGACCTGGCCTCCACAGCCTTCTGTGGCAGTGAATTTCATAGATTCACTACTCTCTGGCTAAAGAAGTTTCTCCTTATCTCCGTTCTAAAAGGTCTTCCCTTTACTCCAAGTCTGTGCCCTCGGGTCCTAGACTCTCCTACCAATGGAAGCATCTTCCCAACATCCACTCTGTCCAGGCCATTCAGTATTTTGAACGTTTCAATTAGATCCCCCCTTATCCTTCCAAACTCCAATGGGTATAGTCCCAGAGTCCTCAAACATTCCTCATATATTAATCTTTCCATTACATCAAATGGTGTTCTGCCAAATGGGAATAAAAGTTGGCCATGCAGCCCCTTGGGCCTATTCCTGCATTCAATTTGATCATGACTGATTCGTATTTGAATTCCGCCTTGGCCTCATATTCTTCAAAAGTTTTGACTAACAAAGAGCTATCAAGTGTGTGGTTTGAACATTTAAAAGTGAACTATGTTTTGGAGGAAGGGAGTTCCTGACTTTCGCCATGCTCTGTGTGGCTTGCTGTAGGACATGAAAATAAACCTTCCCTTCCCACTTTTACAAAGAAGTATTTTGATACCTCGCACATCAATGTAATCACCCAATTTCCAGATCCCTAGCAAGTGCTCACCCAACAGCATTGTGGTCAGCTGATTATTTGTGGGGTTCTTGTGATAGAG